GAGAGAGAGAGAGAGGCAGGAGAGCACAAACGATGTATCGACAACAGCGTTGGCGGCGACGACGTTACGAATAGATACAGAAGAATTCACACGAGACTCGTGACTTGCGCGTTTCGTCCCGCGCGTCTTCTAGCGGTTTTCTTCTTTAGTCGGTCAATTAGGCCCTAGAGCCGTGTGCACTGTCGATCGAAATCGGTCGACCACCGCGAACCGCATCGATTCCGATAATGGACCGTAATTTCAAGCGCGTTTGGCCAATAGTGCGGTGCCACCAGTAGATCTCATAATTAATGAATAACGGTCTCACGCGCGCGGGCCAGACTCAGAGACTTGTTCGCGTAATAGTCGTTTGACCGCCTAATAACCGGAATACCGTTTTAGTGAAGACCGAAGAGCCCGAGGATCGAGAATCGCGCGCAGCACGGCGCGGAGAATAAAGAGGCTCGTCGACCCGCGCGTGTTTTCGCGGTGGCGACACTCTGACCGCCGGGAATTGGCGTTTCCATTTAGATGACAATGCCATGACGTGGCGGGAGCCGCCGCGACAGCTTGCAAGCGGATATTCGTGCCTACTACTCTAGGTACCGTTATCGCGTCTTGAAGCCCCCTCTTCACCCGGTCTCATTCCCCTCATTCCTTCTTATACATTATACGGAACCCCACGTGAAATCTATCGTAACGATGGTACCGCGTGAGGAGGAAGAGATCTATCCCCGCGCGGCCTTGCTCGCGAAATAGACGCGTCTTGCCCGTTCTTGCTTGCTGAACTGTCGACGATAATTATATACCAGACCGCTATAATTTCTTATGATATAGGCCGAAGTAGACGAGATTAGGATCTGGAATACTATTGCGATCTACAATTGAAGAAAGAATGATAAAGTCGACTGGTTAATCCTTACAAGTTTGCGAGGTAGAAATCTCATGGTGTAGTCATAGCTAGTCATATGTAGTAGCCGAGACAAGACATTGTACACAACTTGCGCTCCAATGATCGTTAATCCACGATCTTTATCGATGCTGCCGAAGATAAGCCTATAAGCTTAATATATAAGCGCGAAGATTCTACCGGTAATAATAATATTGCCATAATACGAATCCTCGAGGGATTGTGGAAGATCAGTAAAATCGGCTGGAAGTTTCTCTATTCGCGACGTCCTCGATCCTCCGTCTTATGGAGGACCTTACGATCATCGACACACGCGAACACGCGACCACCGAGGCAGCTATTTCCGCTGTCACGAGTACAATTGACTATTCGCGGACGGGCATTAGTATTCGAATACCACCGGTGCCGCGATAGGAAATTCACCTACCAACCGTTCGAATACCTCGGAATACCGACGTGCACGAGGTCATAACCGAGTCCCAGAAAATCGTAAACCACATCTTTACTTCTGCCCATGGCAATGCGTGGTGTAATGCGAGTATTATATATTATTTGCCATTTTTTGCGCGTCTACGAGAGAGAGAGAGAGAGAGAGAGAGAGAGAGAGAGAGAGAGA